TCTGGCTTCAACCCATGCTCAAACTGAGCACACGAGTCTCCCTCTCCATTCTCATACTGATAGTGAGACCAGTACTTCATTAACTCTTGAAATTTTACCGCGTATTCTCCCATCGTCATGCTTCCTTACTTTAAGTCAAGGAATTTCTGAGCCTTCTGCTTCTTCAGATCCCCCAATACCCCAGTCCAGTTTGGATGAAATGCTCTGATACCAAAATTGTAACACCTTAATTTAATTTCTAAATAAATTAATTTTGTAATAAAATGGGAATAATAAAAATTTTATTTCAACTGTTTCTAATACATGGTTTTAGTAAAGTATTTCAAAATAAGGATGAATTACAAATTTGAATCAATTCATTACAACAGGACTTAATACATTTCAGTTCCAAAAATAATTTTCTAAGTCCAATAGCAGTATCATCCATCCCCAGTCACTGAGCTTAGGGTTGATCGTCTTAGTCACCTGAAAAATAAATATAAGTGAGTACTCTACTCTATCACACACAAGCACAAAGACTTACCTCACACATTATACACCTTACTAATATAATTCAAGCATGCTTCAACAAACATGAAATAATACTTTCAAAAATGCATTCCAATTCACATACAATTGTGCTCATTACACCATCAAGTAATCCACACACACGTGCGCTCACTGCATGTAGTCACGCTCATTATGGCACTGTGATCACAGTTTCCTGACACCCTCAACCTCAGGGACTTACTCAATTTCGTATCATGGATGATCGCTGGATAGCCTTCACTCCATAAATATAACGTGTGCAGTACTGAGTGTCAAACAAATGTGTTAGTCAGAGGCCGAGTTAGAAGGAGAATATGTGGCCTGTGGTGCACCCACGTTCATTGTTGGTGTCACCACTACCCCTTCTTCCCCAAAGTATTTCTACCGCACCTATCTTCAGCACTCCCAGTGTATCGCTGAACCATTCATAGTTTCCAACCAATTCACAATCACAATCACACTCACATTTTCATGCCATTTCCGCACAAATTTATTCACATTCCCAATCACATCATAGTATTCATTTTCATCAAATGGCATGTCCACACATTTTAACCACATTGTAATCAACCATTTCACCACACATCATGCACAATATTAGTCACACTTTACTCCACATAAAATTCCCATTACACTCTAATCATAGTCAAACCATTCCCTCACACACATCAACCAACAACTACCATATTTCATCATCTAACATTATAAATGAAATTCAACCCAAAGATATAGTGTAGAGTCTCCCCTTACCTTGGATTGAAGACCCACCATACAATCAACAATATAATAGTTCCCTACACAAATTTTCGCCATAAGCACATGGAAAACTCCATGAAAAATTGAGAAAATGAAAGAAAGGGAGAAAAATTGACCTTCAATCTAGCTCACAAATGACTTTGGACGCAATTTAATTGGTAAGAATGGGTTGAAAATTGAGACAATAGAGAGAGGGCTCGAAGAGAGATGTAGGAAATGAATTTCCCAAACCCTAAACCTCTTAAATACCCTATAGGTTGCGACAGTCTCGCTACAGCGAGATATTTCTTGTTTCAGCGAGGCATCTCTTGTTGCACCTTAAAATCAAAACCCCTGATCACGAGGATTAGACATTGTCCTATGTGTATTTCAATCCCTAAGAACACTGTAGGGCTGGTTGTTGGAAGAAATTGTTAAAGTTTAGTTCCTCTTTAATTGTCCTTGGAGTTTGACTGGTGATTTTAACTACATTCTCTTTAATTTTGAGAAAGTTGAGGGGAGGGGGGGAAGGGTAGCTCCACTAATCCTAGGACCTTAGCTAGTTTTGCTAATTGCCTCTTTCAGTGTGGCCTTTTTGATTTGGGTTTCAAGTATAACCCTTTCACTTGGCATAAATGAAACCTTAAAGAGAGGTTGGACAGAGTTGTTTCTAATGAATCTTCATGTCTATCCTTTCTTAATAGTTTTGTAATCCATGTTCCCCTCCTAAAATATAACCACTCTGACCTTTGGTGTTAAAATTAGAGATACTCAATCCCTTACTCAGAATAAAAGAAGATCAAATTCCTTATTCCTTGGCTATTCCACCTTGACTTCCCTGTCCAAGTGAAGAATTCCTGGTTGTTGTCGAACTCTTGGGCTGACAATGTAGCTAATATTAGAGTGAACATCTCTGACCGGAACAAGTATGTTTTTGGGAATATTTTCCATCAGAAAAAATGCCTACTCTATATAATTGAAGGTATTTCCAAAAAATTAGGTTTTGGTTTTAACCCTTTCCTTATTAATTTAATGAAAACTCTTTGGAAGGATTATCAACTCATTCTCGATTAAGAAGAAGCTTTTTGGTATGACCATTATAGGGCTATTTGGGTGTCTCTGGAGGATAGGAATACCAGATTTTTTCATAGAGCTGCCATAGGTAGAAGGACCAAAAATAGGATTAAAGCCCTTAAAGATGATAGTTAGAATTGGGTCTATGATTCTTCTGAGCTAGAATCTCTGGTTGCTAATTATTTTGATACTCTTTACTCTAATCCTAATCCTTGGAGTTTCAGATTGGCTACCCTTAACTCATTTCCCCTTTTATCAGATTCTACTCAGTTATTTCTCTCTCTAGATGTCTCCACATAAGAAGTCTAGTCTACACTGTTTAGCATTAGTAATTTTAAGTCCCTAGGACCTGATGGGCTTCATTTTTTAAAAACCAAAGGCACATTTTGGATCAACATATTTATAATTTTGTTCTAACTATTTTTTAGAACCCTAGGAAAATTAGGGATGTTAATGAGACCTGCATCACCCTAATTCCCAAAACTAATAACCCCGAGTTAATCAAAGAGTTCAGACCCATCCCTCTATGTAATGTTAGTTATAAAATTATAACTAAAATTATAGCTAATACATTATGGCTATGTTTGGGAGTTGTGTTTAGGAGAGGAGGGAGGGGTTACAAGGATTTAACCCCTTTTTCAGAGTTACTTAATTAAGAAGAGAAAGGTTTGGAGGTTTTTCTAAACCCTCTAAAATCCTCCGAACGCTAGAGTTTTGAATTCCCTTGTTCTGGGAGGTTTTCTTTCTTCCACTCTTTTATATTCTTTCACGATTAAGATTTTAATTTTTTTTAAATGTTAATTTTTCAAGTGAGAATGTTTTTAAAAATTTATAAAAATAAAAATTATTTTAAAATTATTAATTTTTAGAGAAATAATTTTTTTTTAAAATAAGATATAAAATACAATAATATTATTTATATAATTAAACTCTCATCACTCTCCTCTCTCAATATTAAACATCCAAATAAGGTAGGAGTTTAACCTCCTTCCCTCTTCAAACTCCCAAACAAAGCTTAAGGGAATCCTTGCCCATCTTATTTATGCCAACTAATGCAGTTTTGTTCATGGCAGACATGGAATTGATGATGCTTTAATTTTTCAATGAATTATTCACTCTTTCCATAACCTTAAGTGCATAAATGATTACATGATTGTCAAATTTGATTTAGAGAAAACCTATGACAATTTTAGGTGAAATTTTATCATTAATACTTTAGGTAGGGTTGACCTTAACCATGATATGGTTAATCTCATTAATTACTATATTACTTCCCTTTCTATGGAAATAAATTGGAATAATGGCATTATTAGAACCTTAAGCCTACTAGAGGTATTTGTCAAGGGACCCAATTTTCCTTATCTTTTTGTTCTTTGCATAGAGAGAGTCACTCATCTCATCTAGGACAATATTATTAAGAATGAGAGAGTTCTCTTCTATTTTAGGTGCCATGACATAGGTATTTTCCACCTTTTTGCTAACGACATTATCCTAGTTCAAGATTAATAAAATTTTGACAATACAAGAATGAGAACAACACAACATTCGCATTTAATAAGAATAATATTGAAATTTAAAGTAACAAATTAATATAGTGAGATGTAAAATATTAAAAAATAACTTACAGAAATAGATTTTATATTGATATTGATGAGACTAGTACAAAATATTAAAAGAAAGATTACAAAAGATTCAGAAAAGTTTAGAGAATTTTAAAGGATATTGAGCTCGAGAAATTGATGATGATCCCTTCTTCGTGGTAATGACTTTTATAGAAAAATATTTTCTCTATAAAGAGATTCTTTCTTGTCTTATCTTTATTAACACTATTCCTGCTTATTTAATAATAATAATAATAATAATAATAATAATAGTAATAATAATAATAATAAACTGCCCTCTAAAATCTCAAATACAATATATACCTTCTAATTAGTAGATAATCTAACGGCTTACATTGACTAATCTTAATCTTCTTCTTCTTTTTTTTTATTTATGAAAGGGGCTGTAATATTTGTAAATTTTATTTTTAATTATTAAATCATCATCTTATAATTATTTTTTTGTTTTAAAATATTATACTGAAAACTGTGGAAAATTATTTTTATATCAATTTTAATCTTTCATGTACAAATTCTTAAAAGTAGAAAACAAAATGAAAATAAGCGATAATTTTATAATTAAAAGTGAAAATAATTTTTGTCTAAAACTAAAGAGTTAGTAAAACTTTTATATTCTATACAAATTTATAGTTGATTATTGATTAGCAACTTTGTGGAGTGAATTTTTAAAAACTGGACTTTAATGTGGCTTATTCATAAAATATGAGGCGTTTTGTAAATATAAAATTATCGAGTTTTGTGCTACAAATGCAAGATAGTTAAAATGTTGAGTAATTTACAACGAGGTATTTTTGCATTTCAAAATTTAAAATCCTTCTTTTGAAAAGTAAAATTTATTAGGTATTCAGATTCGGTACAATTAACTACTGGACCTTTAAAGAGCACAAAACTAGCCCAGTAGCTTATTAATAACGGTAGAGAAAAACCATTTAGAAAAAAAATGGTATATCCTATGTTGATTCCGTATAATTGAAATTTGGTAGATCAAAACAAGCTTAATGTTAATTGAACAAGATTAAAGGGTTCATGCAGGCTCAATGACTATGTTGATTTGGTGTAGGAACGAAAACCAATCGCCAAACCCAAGATAAAGAGGGGAACTAGAAACTGGAGCATCTTGATCATGAAATTATTTGGTGTCTTTTCCACATTATTCATTTGAGGTTGTGTTGGTGGATTGTGTTGACCCTGAGCAGGGATGGTTGACATATCAACGTCTCCAACATAGAAACCATCTAACATGGCCTTAGCATTGTTACTATGACCAACATCCTCAAAATCAATAGTTGCATCTTTCCCTGCAAACAAGACACTTTTTGAGCTATCTAAAGGCATTGGAAAACATCTAACTCTTGTGAGTGAGTTCATGATGGATGTTTAAATTTATAACATATTTGCATGTGTTTTTAATTTCTCCATTTTAGTTAAGTTTTTGTTTTGATATTTTTTAAACAAATTTATTTGACTTCGATCCTTAAAATTTTATTAGTTTTTTTTTTCAGTTCTCTTGCTAGTGAAGTTAAAATAAAATAAAATTGACATTTGATAGTTTTTGAGTAGATTGCATCAGTCAAAGTAACAAAAAATTTCATTAAATATAAAGACTAAAAATAATTATTAAGAGAGAGTACCAAAAAAATTTGTGAAAATATATAAACTAAAAAATGTATTTAAACTTTAATTAAATATACCTGTGGAAGATAACAAGACATCATCTCCACCAGGATGGTCATCTAAGAACTTTGTGACATTATAAACCTGTTACAAAATAAGGTAATTCAGAAAGAAAGAAAAATCATTAAAAGATGCTAACTCGATATGAAAGCTTATTAAAAGTTTAATAGTATCACATATGAATAGAAATCAGTACTTCATGAACTACAATTTGTTTGATTGTGTGTGCTTTTATATACAGGCCTTCGAATGTTGCAGTGCTTTGAATTCGAGAAGCTTCATATGCTTTGAATAACAGTGCTAGGGGAAATGTACAACATAAAAACACTTGAAATTGTTTAAAAAATATCCACGTTGCAATTTTTACTTAAATTAATTTATTCTTGTCATAATCAAAATTTATATCATTTATATCATTTCTAAACTAATAACAGTAATATAGATATCAAATTTAAGAAACATACAATTTATGTATGTTGCTTAAAAAAATAACAATAGAAAAAACATGTGTATATTAGCCGCGTAAAATTACTAAAGAATAGTAGATATAGATTAAGATGTACATTTATTAATTCAATTTTATGAGATTGAAGAACAAAATCAATCAGACATTAGAGTTACAGCGAGTTTATGAATTACGAATACAATCTACTAAAATAGGCGAAGGACTAGCACCATAAGTTCTATAGATATTAAGCAAAATACTCAACCATTCCACTCTAAACGAGAATTTTGAATATTTTAATATAAATCAAACGAGGAAACATTTAATTTTGATCTTGAAACATGCACAACGGTTAAATAAGTATTACAAATTTTAATTTTGAAATGTTAATTTTTAGAATTAACAATCATCATCTTTGACATTAAAAAACATTAAAAATAAGTAAAAGAATATTAATTTATCATGTTAACTGACACATAAAAATAAAAATTTATGTGAACTACAATAGATATCATATTTGTGTGTTGTATAATGCTTTATTTTTATCTCTTAAATTAACTCTTTATGTTGTAATTAACTATGTCCTACACTAACTTCATTTTTATTGATTTCTCTCTTTAAATTCAAACACAACATTAAAATCCATGAGTACTGTGTCATTGCTTCAACATCACTAATCTAAATAACATTCCTCCCTCTAACTTTCTTTGACTTATTTTGGGTCAAATTTCACCCTTGTTGAATGTTTTTTCTTCTTCTTCCATTCACAATCACACTCAAAATACATGATTCAAAATGTCTAAAGAATGAAAACAATGGTTGGGTTTACTGTGTTGAAGCTGAATTAGTTTTTTGTAGATTTGCATTGATGGGTTCATTTGAACTTTCTAGTTGAAACTTTGTTCATCACCTTTACTTAAACTAGGTTAATACTTAGATGTTTGACATAGCTGTGGACTCATGTTTGTCTAGTTGTAAGATTAATTATTCATGCATAATGAATCCATTATTTAGCTACTGTAGAGATGAATAACCCTGAAGGAACTTACACAATTTGAGAAGAAGTTAGGATTCAACTTGAAATTTTGAGAAGAAATTTACCCTATAAAAAGTTACAAAACAATGTCATTTGAATTGCCTGAGTATTTCTACATGTCCCTCAACGTGATAAATCAATAATATGTTATTTATTTTTAATGTCTTTAAAGTGATTAATGTTTGTTATTTTCAAGGATTAGATTTTCAAATTTACAATTTTGAAAACCAATTTCAGTCACATTACAAGTTTCATGAACTAAAGTGAAATTTTATCCTGAATTAAATACTATCATGATTAAATAAGTTTTAACATTTTATTATATTTATATTCAGTCATTTATTTTTTAAACATTATATCTCATGATTTAAGTTTTTATATTTTATTAATTTTATACATTATATTATAATCATATCGTTTTCTTTTATGATTTTTAAAGTTTAATAAATTCCGATAACTATGTAATATATCCAATATGTCTCATCTCTGATTCCTAAGACTAGCTATGTACCATTTATCATGCCACTAAAAAAGATGCTCTTATGTAGGTTTACAATTAAAATGTCCACAGTTAAATTGAACACCAATGTGTAGGACTGGTGAATCATAACAAATGCAGCCAACACAACGTAATTCTTGTAGGATATATATTTTATAACTATGGAGATTGACTGGGTGAACCTAAACAATAAGTACAAAAAGTAAAAAGTTAGTTTTTTTAAAATGTGTCTTGAATGACACATTAAAAATTTATACATAGTAAATTCTTATTAAAAATAATAAAATATTATAAAATTTAATACATTAATAATATTCAATGTCATAATTTTTTTAAAAAGATACTATTTAATTTTTTTTTAACATATGCTCTAAGACACATGTTTAGAAAAACCGATTTAAAGAAATCTTGTCACACATGCATGAACCCACTGTATAAGATAGTAAGTTAATGGAAGAGCGGGCCATCAAGAAAATGATTATTGCAGATAAACGCTCCTTAAAAAAAAATCTTAACTGATTCTATCATTTTTATTTTATTTTATGAATTGTTCATTTTTAAAATCTTGTGTCACATCTATTTGTTAAGTGCAAAAATTGCATGTAAAGGGGATTAATTGTTCCTCAATCTTTTGACTCTATATATGAACATGTACCTCATTAAGTTTATGGATCCGAAATCTCCATTTTTACAAAAAACGTTCTTAAGAACAATTTCAAAAGAGATAATGAAAATTTGAACCATTATATCCATATGTTCTGTAGATAATCACTTAAGATACTGCATGCAGGGAATAGAAGATTGCCATTACCTTTCAAAGGTAATAGGGATCCTAATGCCCAAAATAAGGTTGTCGAAACAAGCAAAATTAACGCACCACACAAAAATCCAAAAGGATCAAACATGTGGGAAAATGGTTCATCGTACACTGGTATTGTGTCATTCAAGACCGGATTCCAACCCCACACAGAATGTGAATCTCATCAGATCCAATTGAAACATTGCATGATTCCATACCAGGTAAGTTTTCCTTAAAGAATCAAATAGAAGACACGAAATCGATTGTAAAATCAAAAACAAATTTGCATTCATGAATGCATTGATCGTATTCGTTGTTACCTTGCCATCAATGATAAGCCAACAGTCTTTGGAGTTGTTGTGCTCAGATACTTCGGCCAAAGTGTAGACCTTGTTCTCCCCACCCATTTGTCTAATTAGAGCAACATAATATTGTGTTATGAAGAAATCGTTGAATATAAAAAAAATTGCGATATTAATTTGTTATTCAGAGGTTAAAAGGATTTGAATGCGAGGAACTTGGAGGTCGATGAGAATGGTTAGTTTGTTACTAAATTCTCGAGGGGGAGGGATCGTTGTGTCACCAATTGCCTAGCCATCTTTAGGAAATTTTATAAACGTATGCAAACACTTTTTATCATACGCAATTATACATCATTTTGATTTTTATTATGCTCTCTATTTTGAAAATTGATATGGTTAAGAATGACAAATGCGATTTTTTTTTCTTCTTTAACGAATTTGATAGTAAGTACTTTGAAGAGATCGGAAAAAGAAATAAAGGTAAAAAAAATTATTACATAAGATTAAGGAAAAGGTTAAGACTTGCTTCCTTAACTAATTAAATATTTACTTTTATATTATAAATTTAAGTACTTTTTAAATAAGAATATTTTTTTAAAAAAAATTCACCACAAGTCATATGATTTATTTAGCATTAATATGTATTTTTATTAAAATAAATAAATCCTTTTTATTGAAAAATATAAATTTGTTAAAATTAAATAAATTTGATCATACAAAATAAAAACATAAAAAATATATCTTCCAAATAATAAATAGAAAGAACCTGTGCATCGTTAGTTGTTTATAAAATAAAAAATCAAATAAATGATATAAAAAAATTCTAAAAGATACTTGATTAATTATTTAAGAATGATAAATATTTTAATATTTGATTTAGATAATGAAAGAATAAATAAAACAGTTTATAACTCACCTTTTAGTCTTTGGTGTTATTTCAATTTATGTCACTTATTAACGTATGATATGTGTCATATTTTGGTGTTATTCTTTTTTATTTTGCTTTACACACGTTAAAAATCGATGTATAAGTATTATTTATTACACATTTTGGTGTTGCATATTAACTTGAATTACCATTCAATCTGATTTCGTTCGAGATAACTCAATCGTGATATAATACAATTGTACCATCATGATCTAATATTTTTGACAAATGACACTTTAATCATGCACAGTCAAACATGATGCACACACGTCCAACTAACACACCTAAAGTGTGCAAAACGATAAAATCCCTAAAAGATCCATATATAAGGAGATAATTCTCATAACTCAAGTACATGTTCTACCACATTCTACCCTAATCTTGAGCAACTTTCTTTAACTAAAGCGTTTTAGTGTTTCCTGCAAAAATACCCATCACTGGAGCTTGCTTCCAACCAATAACCACCGTCAACCACCACCAGAGATATCCAGTACCAGAGGAACCTTATCTTGATTGTTTAGCATGCATCATTAAAACTGTCTATAGGAACGATAAAGTTATCTCAACTCCTCTACCATGAAACAATCACCTTATCAGCATGTTCAAAGAGCCTAGAAGAACATGTTGAAGAAACTTTTCCCATGGAAACCTAATCCATTACCAAACACAAGAAAACTCAACCCACATCGTGAATCTCCCTTAGTCACTAACCACAAATTGTGCCACCAAATCATCCTACCATATCAGCACAAAGAAACAACAAATAACAAAGGGGCCACGACCAGCACAAAAAACAAACTTTTACTAGAACAAGTGTAGGAGCTTAAGAGAGCTTCAACTCTAATGCTTTCACCTCTACATCCTAATTAGGTGAACCCTCACCACAATGCCCGATTGACATATTGATACTTTATGTAATAAAATGTTATTTCTTGGGGCACCCAAAAGTGTTATATGTAGATCATTTTGACGAACCCTCAAAGGAAAGGCTTTGAACTAGTTTCGAGCACTTCCCCCCACTTTTATTCATAGTTGTTTATTTGAGCTTAACTTTTGCTGTGAACATTACACACACTATGTAGAATCAAGTAAAAGGACCAAGAGACGATCAAAAGTTTTCTTTCGCGCTTCTATAAAGAAGCAGCCTTAGTCCTTAACTTGCCTAAAGTAATCCAGCTACACTTTGTAGTGGAATCCATCAAGAAAGGAAGCTTATTCGCAATCTCCTTATCGAAGCATGAGCCCAAAACAATGATCGAATTGGAGACCAAGGTAGCCAAGTATGTTAGAATGGAAATCTAAGTTTCTAATGCTAGGTTAGATCTTAATGATACAAACAGAGTGCCTAAAAGGGCAAAATAAACTTGAAGAAGAGGTAGAAAATTTAAGCCCAGGGGATATTTTATAGATATGTCCAACTTAATACGACCCCAAGCCATATTTGAAGGGCATAATGAAGGTTGAGTTTGCCTTAGTTCCTAGACCACCACCCTTCAAAAAGTGCACTTAGAAGGACCATTCCAAGTGTTATCCTTTCGTGACGGGTTCAACTACACCACTGATGAATGTATCCAGCTCAAAGATGCAATAAAAAAACTCATTAGAGGGGGCAAACTGCAGAAGTACCTACATCATGACGAGTGACACAAACCTACTAAGACCAAGGGACGCTATTGATATCATTTGAAATCATACAAAGAGCACTACAGTTGCAGAAGAACTAAAAGCCCTACCCGAAGTTGCAAGTGGATGATCAATGTCATACTCGATTAAACAAAAAGCAATTTAAATGCAATAAATAGGAGACAAACCTAGGTCGTTCTCCCAAGAACCACTATCACAAATGTTAAAAACGAAACAGAAAATTGGAGACAGTTTTGATTGCAAGAAAGAATGTAATTAAAAAATTATAACACAGAATTTCAATAAATCAAAAACGATCTACTTACGACTTTTGTTACGCAAAATAGATTTGGTTATGAAATAAATCTCAACCCAAGTGCATTCAAATTAAATAACACACATCTTTAATATGAATTAATAGATTATTCTATGAAATTATTCTTCCATCACAATTATAAATACAAACATAAGTTTAAGGACAATTATCGTGAAAAAAAAATTACAGGAAGAAAGAGAAGAAACAAGAACTCAAATTAACTCCAAATTGAAAGGATGACAAAAATATAAAAAGGAAGAAAGTCAAAAAGATTTGTAATTCCTCCAACATCTCCTTCTTTTATAAAGGCCAACTCTAAACTAAACCTAATCCAATAAGTTAAAGAAGTAAAGTAGACCACAAAGTCTAATTCAACTCCAATCTTAATTAAAAACTACAAATGAAAACTTAATTTTCCTAACAACATTAGGGGCTAACTTAAAATGCTTGTAACTTATATCTTAGAACTTTAAATCTAGCGAATGATGTGTCAAATTAAAATTCTTTGAGTTAGCTTTCTAACACAACAAGAATCACTGAAAAAATTCACCTGAATAAACATTTATGACCAAATTAGTGAGCAAAGGTCAAAAGTATTAAAATTCAAGAAATAGATAGAATTACTAATTAAGGCCCAAATAGGCTCGAACAAATAAAAATAGTCTAAAATAGTGAAGTAATCATAATAATAGTGTCAAGAGCTAGTGTTAAGTATACTAAGGTATCAATATAATATGATTCATTAAACAATTCCATACTTAGAACATTTTCACTCTTGGGCAAAAAGAGAAAGACAAAAGACTCGAAACACAAGACATAACTAGCGAGAAAAAAATAAAATGGTAAACTCATCAATGAATAAAGGATGGACTAAGGCAATATACAGGATGCAACACCTAAGGAATTAAAGAATCAAGAAAATCATGGATCTCACTCTTACATCTCAAGCAACTAAGATAAACATCAAATTAAGCACTGAATCAAAAGTGATAGAACCTCACAAGACATGCTCTCTAATCTCTTAAGTGTCTAAATTTGTGTGTAATCCTGAAAATCACCCAAATAAGTTAACAATACCATAGCCTTAACAAGTTTCTAATTTCCATACTTGAACACACGTGCATGGAAAAAGATCAAAAAGACTTTATTAAGGTTGTAATTAATGAGGCCAAGGATATGGTGGATAACATGAAGGGCTATGGCTAAGCTTAGGAATGAAAAAGAGTAATAGGGAACAAGAGCCAATGATCATGGAAGTACAATTAGAAATTCAAGAAAACAAAATGAAATGTTAATCAAAAAATTTAAAGGACAAAATACTACTCATGAAAATCCTGAACTCAATGAAAACAACAACAAAGTGCAGACAAACAACAAAATAGCAACATAACATATGCAAAAAACAAAATATAATGACAGGAAAATGAAAAATCAAGTCTCTTAACAACTTCACACTTAGAACCATACATTATTCTCAATGTGACAAAAAAAAAAAACACAATGAAACACTAATAAGATGAGAATAAGTATGATTTAAGAGTGGTAATAAAAAGAAAAATGAAAACTCCATCAAGACGACTTGGAAATGGTGAGCTATAGTGTAACCTCCTCAACGGTTGCATCTACAAGTGTTGGGTGCTCATGGAATAGTTTGAGGCGATGTCTATTAGTTTAGGGATAGTAAGATGTCAAAACATGATGCACAACTTCATAATTCTGAAGCAAAGCTTGCATGGATCTTTTACAAAAATGAGTACTTTGATCAATGATGATGGCTCTAGGTATGCCAAACCTACAAAAATGTGAGACCTACAAAAATCAACAACTTGAACATCATTAGTATGGGTAGTCTTAGCCTCCATCAATTTAGAGACATAATCCACAACAAACAAAATATAGGAAAAGCCAAAAGAAATAGGAAAGAGGTCCATCAAGTCAATACTCCACACATTAAAAATTTCACAAAACAGCATAAGTTGTAGTGGCATCTCCTATCTCGTAGTAATGACCCTAAACCCTAAACACTCTTCAAGCATCTCTAAAAATGATGGCTAGTAGAATCCTTGATGACACATTATGTATTCACATTTATAATTTTATTTTAATTCCAAAACTTTTCATATGATTTATTTTTAGAGTTTACCCATTTACTTGTAACTGAAATAAATTGGGTTTGTTATGCATAAATACTTTAATTTTGTATTTTCGACTATTATAACATTTGCCTACACTTTTTGACAT